AAGCCAAAGAGCTGGCATTGTCCATAGACACCTCCAAGGTTATGTGTCCAGTATGACTGCATGGACCCCCGTTACCTTCCCACTGGTGTGGTACCTATTGATCTACTCACATTTTCATGTTTTCGAACTGCTAGGTTGGCAGAAGCTGGGCCTACTTCCTTTCCGTTAGGAAAAAAGGATTATTGGGCTCATGGGGATGTGTCGAACTGCAGTCTTGTGCTGTTTCATTGTCACAAATAATGCTCTCCGTCCTTGAAGCATTGATACATCGCTTGCCCGCTTGGCTTCTACATATGGCAGCTGGCATGGAATGGCAAACCCATACTGAGTTTTAGCCTGATTTTTAAAGCAGCACTCCAATGTGCTGGCTTTCTTTAAAAGACGAGATTCAACACATTGGAAGCATCTGCTATACTTTAGACCAGTGTCACAATCAAAGAGCATTCTGAACTTCACCAATGATGGAATTGAACCAAACTTGGCACACAGGACTCCCATGACCAACAGAAAACATTTGAATGGTTTAGTGGGCATTGACCTTGAGCTTTGGAGTTGTAGTTCACCTACATCCAGAGAGCACTGTGGACTAAAACAATGACGGATCAAGACCAAACTTGGCACGAATACTCAATATGCCCAAATATGAACACAGATAGAGTTTGGGGGAAACAGACATTTGGAAGTTGTAGTGACTGGGATGTATAGTTCACCTACAATCAAAGAGCATTCTGAACCCTACCAATGACAGAATTGGGCCAAACTTCCCACACAGAACCCCCATGACCAACAGAAAATACTGTGTTTTCTGGTGATCTTTGGCAGGCAGATCATGATTGAGCCCCCCCCCCCCCCCTCCCCCCCCCCCCCCCCCCCCGAAATTCTCATGGTGGTCCGTGAGAAGGCCTTACTGGTACATTATTTAAATCTGTTATGTTTATTCATATCATGATCTGATCACCATGCTCAATATATCCCATATGCATGGGGGTATTGGGGTAACGATACAAAAGGTTTGCTAGGGTAGACCCTCTTTCACTCAGACTCAGCCCCCCCCCCCCCAGTCAAACTCAACCCCTCCCCCGAATGAAAATCCTGGCTATAGGCCTGGTCTTTGGTGACCCTTTTGACATCCTGGCGACCTCCCCCCTCCCACCCCCAGTCCAACGCTTTCCTGACAAAGAGCCATCCAGCCATAGATATAGATAGATATATATGATTCACACACATAGGTATATGACAGATATAGTATCATAGATTTGGAAGAGACCCCTAAAGGAGGACAATTCTATGTTGCATGTTCCAGAGGAGGCAAATCAGACAATCTCTACATCAACACTGACAAAGAAACAACAAAAATACTGTTTACCCACAAACAGAAAGAAATTACATATATTAGAAACCGACACTTTCTCATTACTTTATTTTCCAGATCATCAGACTGGGCCACAGCAATGCATGGCTGGGGATGGCTAGTCTCTCTATATAACAGACCTCCCCTTGCAGAATAAAAACTAGGGGAAACTCCAAGAGCTTGTTGGGTGTGAAGAAGAGGCAGGCTTCCAGCAATTATTGCTTGCAAAGAGAGAATCTAACACCCTCCCACAATCTCCAGTGTCGGCAGGAGATGCCACTCCTGGGAGATCAAGGGCAGCTTTGTGGAGCACAGCGAGATTAGCACAAATTATCCCCCTGAGCTTGAGGCAGAGCGTCTTGGATGGCAGATTCAGCACATGCGGTGATGGAAAAAAACCCCTCCTGGAAGACAGGCAGGGAGCCATCATCGATCAGGTAGGCCTGCAACCCCTTTTATCTCTTCTGCTGGAGAGATTCCCAAATGTCTTCAGTGATAGGTTTTATCTTGACAGTTGTCAAGAGATAACACCTGTGGCTGCTGCAGCCTCCTTTGCCTTCAACTCCAAAGTATATTTGGGAGTTCATGCAACCAATGCAAACCCCTCCCAATTGCGTCACCAACATGCTACATCTGACTTGCTCATTTGAAATACTCTGCAGAGATGGTCCTATGTCTGAGTGGAAAGAGATGGGGGCCATCTGGATGAAAGGATATGTTTGCTTGCAAAGATATAGTGACACAAATCCAGAGCAATGAAGTGAACAACAAGTTAAACATGAGCCAACAATGTGATGGTGCGGCAAAAAAGCCAATGGGAGAGTAGTGTCTAGATCAGTGTTTCTCAACCTGGGGGTCAGAACCCCTGATAGGGTCGCAAGGGGGTTTCAGAGGGGTCACCAATGACCATCAGAAAACACATATTTCTGATGTCTTAGGAACCTGTTTCGCATAGTTGTTTGGGTTCGCAGTGCTCTCCAGTTGTAGGGGAACTACATCTCCCCTAAATCACTGTCAATTCATCCCAAATCCCTCCAGTATTTTGTGTTGGTCATGGGTGTTCTGTGTGGAAAGTTTGGCACACTTCGATCACTGGTGAGGTTTAGAATACTCTTTGATTGTAGGTGAACTATAAGTCCCAACAACTACATCTCCCAAATGACAAAATCAATCCCCTCCAACCCTACCAGTATTCAAATGTGGGTGTATTGGATATTTGTGCCAAATTTGATCCAGTGAATGAAAATACATCCTGCTTAACAGATATTTACATTGTGATTCATAATAGTAGCAAAATTAAAGTTATGAAGTAGCGACGAAAATAATTTTATGGTTAGGGGTCATCAAAACATGAGGAACTGTATTAAGGGGTCGTGTCATTAGGAAGGTTGAGAAACACTGGTCTAGATCCAGGGAAGTCATGCTACCCATTCTCTATTCCACCTTGGTTAGACCACACCTGGAATATTGTGTCCAATTCTGGGCACCACAATTGAAGGGAGATATTGGCAAGCTGGAATGTGTCCAGAGGAGGGCGACTCAAATGATCAAGGGTCTGGAGAACAAGCCCTATGAGGAGCTGCTTAAAGAGCTGGGAATGTTTAGCCTGAAGAAGAGAAGGATGAGAGGAGACAAGATAGTCATGTATAAATACATGAGAGGAAGTCATAGGGAGGATTGAGCAAGCTTGTTTTCTGCTTCCCTGGAGACTAGGACATGGAGCAGTGGCTTCCAACTACAAGAAATGAGATTCCAGCTGAACATTAGGAAGAACTTCCTGACTGTGAGAGCTGTTCAGCAGTGGAACTCTCTTCCCCAGAGTATGGTGGAAGCTCCTTCTTTGGAAGGTTTGAAACAGTGGCTGGATGGCCATCTGTCAGGGCTGCTTTGAATGAAATTTTCCTACTTCTTGGCAGGGGGTTGGACTGGATGGCCCATGAGGTCTCTTCCAACTCTATGATTATATGATTCTATGATTTTAGGTATAAAATTAATCCTAATCCTAATTCTCCCTTCCTTTTGGTCAGGCACTGGAGGCAGGTGTAGTTTAACAGGTATAGAGCATGTATAATGCTCTTAGCTTTAACTTTTGACCTTTCCTCTTTAGAGATTTTTGAGCCACAGGATTGGGAGATGGCAGGAGGCCCGCATGCTAAATCAGGACTCACGTGCCAAGAAAGTGTAAACACAGGCAGTCGGGCATCACAACCAGAAAGGAGCCTGTCATTATTTCCCCTCTCTCCCTATGGAGAAGATTGATGACACAACATGATGGGTACGAGTGTCAGAAGACACAGTCAGGAGATCCTGGATCTTCCATTCCATAGGTAAAGGAAGATAAGGAGTCATCCTGATGCACTTGGAAAGTATTCTCTGAGTCAACTTCCTCCCAAATTATCCTGCCTTTTTGCCAGATCTCTTTGAACTCCCTGCCTTGAGGAATAGCTGAGCCTTGGGCCTTTCCAATCTCCTCGTGGGTTCCTTTGTTGTGACCACACCTGCTTTACTTGAATGCACATCATACACATAAACTTGCCCTGTCTGTTTTGCAAAGTTGAGGAAAGAAGGTCACATGCAACAGATCATAGAATTATAGAGTTGGAAGAGACCTCGTGGGCCATCCAGTCCAACCCCATTCGGCCAAGAAGCCGGACAATCGCGTTCAAAGCACCCCCAACAGATGGCCATCCAGCCTCTGTTTAAAAGCCTTCATAGAAGGAGCTCCCACCACATTCTGCTCTCGATCCTGCCTGCATCACAAATATGTTTGGTGGGGATGAGAGACAGGGCCTTCTCAGTGGTGGCCCCTCGGCTATGGAATGCCCTTCATAGGGACATTAGATTGGGTTTAAATGCTTTATGATGTTCTTGGGCATCGAATCATTGCTTCTGTAAACCACCCTGAGTCACCTGAGGGCTGAAAAGGGCGGTATACAAATATAGCAAATAAATCTATATAAATAAAAATGTAATGTTCGTTTGTGGGATTAACAGAACTCAAAAACCAGTGGGCCAATTGACACCAAATTTGGACACAAGACACCTAACAACCCAATCTATGTCCTTCACTCAAAACATTGATTTTGTCATTTGGGAGTTGTAGTTGCTGGGATTTATAGTTCACCAACAATCAAAGAGCATTATGAACTCCACCAACGATGGAATTGAACAAAACTTGGAATACAGGACTCCCATGACCAACAAAACACTAGGAAGGTTTGGTGGGCATTGATGTTGAGTTTGGGAGTTGTAGTTCACCTACATCCAGAGAACACTGTGGACACAAACAGTGATGGATCTGGACCAAACTCTACACGAATACTCAATATGCCCAAATGTGAACACTGGTGGAGTTTGAGGAAAATAGAATCTTGACATTTGGGAGTTGCAGTTCCTGGGATTTATAGTTCACCTAGAATCACAGAACATTCTGAACCCCACCAACGATTGAATTGGGCCAACCCTCCCACACAGAACCCCCATGACCACCAAAGTGGGCCACAGCAATGCGTGGCAGGGGATGGCTAGTAAATAAATAAAACTGAGCAAACAACTGTAGTGTAGATCTTAGTCTTCAGTTGTGTTCAGGCATTTTTGTGTCACATACAACGCCAGTAATTTGCCACATTTCAACCAGGCTACATTTATTCGTGCCTATATTTACAGACATTGCTCTGACTGGTACAAATTACAGACTGTGGTCTTATTTTGTTCATAGTACATTTATTTTGGTCATGTTTGCAGTCTGTGATTGGTGTAATGTGTATTAGGAAATATAATAAAGGCTTTATTGGAAAAATCTCGAGTCTGTTTCTGCATCCACGCCAACCCCCTTTCTGCAAGCGGGGGCTTTTTGGAAAGGGAAATGGGCACTAAAGGGAACCATGGTCATTGATCACATAGATAGTAGTCCTGTGGTGATGGGCTTAGGATGCCTCTGGGCGGAATCCATCAAACTTCCATGAGAGTGATATGCCTTTTGAGAGATTCTGCATTCCAGTCTCAGTACTGAGTCTAGGGACTTGGATGAAGAGGAAATTCTGGTTCTATGAGCCCATTATGTGGGGGTAGGAAAGGAGCAGGGTAGCCCATATTGAGGCGTTTCCTGCTTCTGCAGCTGAGTGAGGTAGCAAGAGGTCATTTATCTGAGCCCCAACTTTTCAGGGTCTCAATTTCAGATAACATCATCATACTTGTCCATTGCTATGTACAGAAATCTTGAAGCAGCAATCCCAGGATCTATAGCTAAGCACTGTGGAAGGATACGATCTTCAGATACAATAGAGATATCTAACACAGGGCTTCTTTAAAAAATCTACTTGTGATCCCTGATTTTTTTTTGTTTTGATCCTGGATATATAGATATATAAATAGGTATAAAAACCAAACATTTATTGATAACATATCAGCATTTGCAAGGCTTGCTAAAGAGGCTGATTTTCCTTTTTTATGAAGTACAGCTGAAGCATTTTCTGAAGAGTCCACTGTAAACACTGCACATTGTTGCTGAGAGATTCGTGGAAATGTCTAGGTGGCATTCTGAAAGTTTTTACTGTTGCTAAATGTTTTGTGACCCCAACATTAACCTCAGGGGGTCCCATTTAGGAGCAGGGCCCACAGTGATCTAACATCTGTGGCTGGCTGATTATAGACCTCAGGGCTGGGCTGGCCAGGCATAAATACAAGGAACATGGCTTTATTTCCTCATCGAGCAAACAGAGAAGAAGCTCATCTCTGCTACAGGAATCACCTGAAATGACTTTCTGATCTGGGCCACACCTTCATCTGGTCCTTGCTTGGTTCCTAGAGGAATTCACCCCAAGCAAATCCTTGCCTCCAAACCTACTGAATGGGCCTGCTCAACAGGATTTGCACAACAAGGGTGCCATGGCCACCTCTTCTTCTGTTGGGTTTATGGACAGCTTGGTTTCCCCCTGAAACCTTCTTCCAGTCTTCTGGTAGGCCCTTTGGTGGGCTTCCCTCACGAAGAATCCCCACCCCTTGTTCAAAACAAGTGGCCAAGTCCTGATGATGCCTCTTCTCTGGAAGGATATCAGAGGACTCCATTGGTAGGTTGGGTATAATGGTTGCTTTGGTGTCCATTACTCTTGGTGCGTTCCCGCTCAGTCCTTTCCTTCCTGCAGGCTTCGTATTTCTTCATCAATTTCCTCTTGACAAACTTGAGGATGTCCCATGCAAATACTATAGACACAAAGTACATGAGTAGAACGCCGGCCTTGACCTCCCAGTTTGGCTTGGGGGAAGTCAGGACCGCATGCACAATCCAGACGCCACCGCCAAGCCGCAGCCCCAGGAAAAGGAACACAAAGAGGCCGTCCACCACCTCCCCAGCGATGCCCTCGTAGTGCCCCATGTCCCGGAGGAACCAGCGGATCTGGAGCAGCGGGTTGGTGATCTCAGCCAAAAAGATGAGGGCGTTGATCTCACTGCCCGAGACACCCATTACCAGCACGCCACCCATGCCGAAGATGCACAGGATGTGGTGATAGATCATCAGTTCGTCTTCGCTGTTGAAATAGGTGCACCAGCCAAAGTCAAAGAAGAAGTAGCCCAGCGACAGACACAGCACGGTGATCTGTAGAGGCGTATTCGGATGGCCTAGGAAAGAAGAGAGATGGGCAAATGAGTCTGCATTTCAACTTTGAAAATTCTCCTTAAACTTTCCTCAATATTCACCTCTCCTATGAAGTTTATGGGTACCTTTTAGAACATGACTTGACTATGTTCAAATCTGAAATCATTCATTTTACAGACAGCACCATTCTTGCCCAAAACTTGTCCCATACAGATCCTGCTGGTACTGTCTTTCTAAGGCTGCATGTCCTTGGGTGTATCTATACTGTCATATTAATGCAATGTGGCCCATTTCAATGCTATGGAATGCTGGGTGTGTGTTATTGTGAGGCACCAGCACTCTTTGCCAGAGACAGCTAAAGGCATTGTAAAACTACAACGTCTCAGGATGCTGCAAGTCAAAGATTGAAAGGCAGCAGATTACAGGAGCTGTCTTCATAAACCTGTCAGTAGCATATGATACTGTAAATCATCACCTTCTCCTGAGGAAAAATATTATAATATCATGAAGGACTACGACCTCACCCGCTTCATAGGAAATCGGCTACAAAACAGGAGCTTTTCTGTTGAGTTCCAGAGTCAGAGAAGCAGATGGCAAAAACAGAAGAACAGCCTGCTTGAGGGGAGCATGCTTGGTCCATCAATGTTTAACATTTACACAAATGATCAGCCACTGCTGGAATGGAAAGAAGGTTTCATCTATGCTGACGATTGTGCCATCACCGCTCAAGCATGGTGCTTTGAAATTGTTGAACAGAAGCTGTCCGAAGCTTTAGGTGCTCTTACTGCCTATTACAGGGAAAACCATCTGATTCCTAATCCATCTAAAATGCAGACGTGTTTTTTCACTTTAAGAACAGATGAGCATCTCAAGCTCTGAGGATTACCTGGGAAGGAAGCCCACTGGAGCACTGCAACACACCCAAATACCTGGGAGTCACTCTGGACTGTGCCCTGACTTGTAAGAGACACTGCTTGAATATCAAGCAAAAAGTGCATGCTAGAAATAATATCGTACGAAAGCTGACTGGCACAACTTGGGATTACACCCAAATACAGTGAAAACATCTGCCCTTGCACTTTGCTACTCTGCTGCTGAATATGTGTGCCCAGTGTGGAACACATCTCATGATGTTAAAACAGTGGATATGGCTCTCAATGAGACATGCCACATTATCACAGAATGTCTACACCCCACACCACCGGAGAAATTACCCTGTTTAGCTGATATCACACCACCTGACATCTGCTGGGAGGTAGCAGCCAGAAATAAAAGGACCAAGTCATTGGCATCTTTGGCCCATCCTCTGTTTGGATATCAGCCGGCATGCCAATGCCTTAAATCAAGAAACGGCTTCCTAAGATCAAGAGAGATACTTGCAGGAACACCTCAGCAAGTGGGAGTCCTAAAGTGGCAGGCTAAAACCCAGCACCTCAATCAGTGGCTGAGACCAGATGAGAAACTCCCTCTTGGACACACAGAAGAGTGGACGACCTGGAAGGCACTCAACAGACTGCACTCTGGCACCACAAGATGCACATTTAACCTTAAGAAATGGGGCTACAAAGTAGAATCCACAACATGTGAGTGTGGAGAAGAGCAAACCATAGACCGCTCACTACAATGTAGTCTGAGCCCTGTCACATGCATACTGGAGAACCTTCTCACAGCAACACTAGAGGCACTCAAAGTGGCCAGTTTCTGGTCAAAGGACATTTAGCTTAATGCCAAGATCTTTTTAAATGTGTTTTAAAATGTATTTTAACTTGCTTCTGACATGGTAAATAAATAAATTGCATTGAGCCATGGCAGTTAAAGCCATTTCAAATTGAATTAATTCTGTAGTGTAGATGCACACTTCTCACCCGCTCCACCATGGCTGCAAAGTTTGTGCTGTAAATACAAAGGCAAATTCAACCTGCCTTGACACCAGCACTCATGAACAAATGAGGCTAAACACCTTGTAGGTAAAGGGAAAGGTTGTCCCTCACATTAAGTCCAGTTGTGTCTGACTCTGGGGTGTGGTGCTCATCTCCATTTCTAAGCCGAAGAGCCGGCGTTGTCCATAGACACCTCCAAGGTCATGTGGCCGGCATGACTGCATGGAGTGCCATTACTTCCAACTCCAAGGTCATGTGGCCAGCATGACTGCATGGAGTGCCGTTACCTTCCTGCTGGAGCAGTACCTACTAGGGCTGGGCGCTTTCGTTCATTAATTTCGTAATTCGTTAATAATTCGTTATTTTTCTTGATAACGAAGCGATAACAAACCATTCAGGAGCAACTAAAAAACGAAACGAATTTTTAAAGCTATTTCGTAATTGTTTTGTAATTGTTTCGTTATTATTTCCGTATGTCTGGTGCAAGTTTTATAGTTGTTTCCCTCCCCTCTCCCTGGTTGCAAGCGGTCGGCATTTACCCCACTTCCGGGTCCCTGGCCTCTGCTTAAGTGGATCAAATTCTCCTCTCCTCCTGTCGTCACCTCACCTCGTTCCTCACTCTGGCCTGCGTGCATTGGGCAAAGAGACACAGCAGTGCAGCACTCAGAGACCTGCCTGTTGCCTGCCTAACCTCTTTCCTTCTCCAGGTTAAAACTATTATATTTATTATATTTATTATTATTATTATTATTATTATTATTAAGAATGGATGGCCATCTTTCAGTAGTGCTTTGACTGTGCCTTACAAGCACGAAGGCAGAAAGTGGTTTGTTATTATTATTATTATTATTATTATTATTGAGAAGCATTGTCAAACCAGAATAGAGATCTCACCCCTCCTCTCTCTCTCTTTCCCCCTCTTTCCTTCTCCGAGGTTAAAACTATTATTTAAAACTATTATTTTCACGTTGCGCAACCGCGTCCGCCATTTTAACGAATTGATTCGTTAATATTAACGAAACTTCGTAAATACCAAACTTTTTAAAAGGAAAATTTCGGAATTATTTTAAATATCGAAACGCAAAAAACCCCAAAAAACGAATAGATTTTAGAAACAAATTTTTCCGTTGTTACCCAGGCCTAGTATCTACCTATTGATCTACTCATATTTGCATGTTTTTGAACTGCTAGGTTGGCAGAAGCTGGGGCTGACAGCAGAAGCTCACTCTGCTCCTCGAATTCAAACCTGCGACCTTTTGGTCAACAAGCTCATCGGTTTAACCCACTGCATCACTGGGGGCTTTCTTGTCAAACTACACAAATCCATATAATTAGGCCATGATAGTTAAATGGTGTCAAATTGTATTAATTCTACAGTGTCAATGCACCTTAATTCTGTGTTAGGTAAAGGTAAAGATTTTCCTCTGACATTAAGTCCAGTCGTGTCCGACTCTGGGGTGTGGTGTTCATCTCCATTTGTAAGCCGAAGAGCCGGCATTGTCCATAGACACCTCCAAAGTCATGTGGCTGGCATGACTGCATGGAGCGCCGTTACCTTTCCGCCAGAGCGGTACCTATTGATCTACACACATTTGCATGTTTTTGAACTGCTTGGTTGGCAGAAGCTGGGGCTGACAGTGGAAGTTCATCCTGATACACGGATTCGAACCTGCGACCTTTTGGTCAACAAGCTCAGCGGTTTAACCCACTGCGTCACTGGGGGCTCACTTGTAAAACTACACAAATCCATAGCATTAGGCCATGATAGTTAAAATAGTGTCAAATTGTATTAATTCCACAGTGTCCATGCACCTCAATTTTGTGTTAGGTAAAGGTAAAGATTTTCCTCTGACATTGAGTCCAGTCGTGTCCGACTGGGGTGTGGTGCTCATCTCCATTTCTAAGCCGAAGAGCCTGCGTTGTCCATAGACACCTCCAAGGTCATGTGGCCAGCATGACTGCATGGAGTGCCATTATATTCCCACCGGAGCAGTACCTATTGATCTACTCACATTTGCATGTTTTTGAACTGCTAGGTGGCAGAAGCTGGGGCTGACAGTGGAAGCTCATCCTGATACCTGGATTCGAACCTGCGACCTTTTGGTCAACAAGCTCAGCGGTTTAACCCACTGGGCTACCGGGGGCTCCCTTGTTAAACTACAGAAATCCATAGTATTAGGCCATGATAGTTAAATTAGTGTCAAATTGTATTAATTCTACAGTGTCGATGCACCTTAATTCTGTGTTAGGTAAAGGTAAAGAATTTCCTCTGACATTAAGTCCAGTCGTTTTCAACTCTGGGGTGTAGTGCTCATCTCCATTTCTAAGCCGAAGAGCTGGCATTGTCCGTAGACACCTCCAAGGTCATGTGGCTGGCATGAGTGCATGGAGCGCCATCACCTTCCTGCCAGATCTATTGATCTAATCACATTTGCATGCTTTCAAACTGCTAGGTTGGCAGAAACTGGGGCTGACAGCGGAAGCTCATGCTGCTCCCTGGATTCGAACCTGCAACCTTTTGGTCAACAAGCTCAATGGTTTGGGCATGTTTAGCCTGAAGAAGAGAAGGCTGATAGGAGACATGATAGCCATGTATAAATATGTGAGAGGAAGCCACAGGGAGGAGGCAGCAAGCTTTGCTTCCCTGGAGACTAGGACACGGAACAATGGCTTCAAACTACAAGAGAGGAGATTCCATCTGAACATGAGGAAGAACTTCCTGACTGTGAGAGCCGTTCAGCAGTGGAACTCTCTGCCCCGGAGTGTGGTGGAGGCTCCTTCTTTGGAAGCTTTTAAACAGAGGCTGGATGGCCACCTGTCAGGGGTGATTTGAATGTAATATTCCTGCTTCTTGGCAGGGGGTTGGACTGGATGGCCCATGAGGTCTCTTCCAACTCTGATTCTATGATAACCCACTGCGTCACTGGGGGCTCACTTGTAAAACTACACAAATCCATAGCATTAGGCCATGATACCGTATATTCCGGCATATAAGACAACTGGGTGTATAAGATGACCCCCAACTTTTCCAGTTAAAATATAGAGTTAAGACAACTCCCATGCATAAGACTACATCCGCGTATAAGACGACCCCTGACTTTTGAGAAGATTTTCTTGGATTAAAAAGTAGTCTTATACGCCAG